TTCATTGTTTTTTTTAATCAGTGGAATGTTGCTACTTTCATTCCTTAGTCAGGATGACCCTGATAAAGGTTAGGACCTATGGATCAATACAATTGACTGAACTTCAGGCAGTCATTTTAGCACTAAATGTCCCAGCCAACAAATGGCCCAATCATTTCATTTATTACAAACTGTTGGGCCATTGCCCCCATCAGGGTAAAAAAACTCTGGGAATCTCTTGCCTCAGAGATATCCAAAATATAAATCAAAATCACGTGTCTCTACATATACTAAGACCACATGCAACCTTGCCAGGACACACCTTATTCCCTTTATTCCCTTTGGAGTCATAGACATTACGATAAAAATCAAGGTACACATTTGAGTTCCCAGAATACACAATACTGGGTGTCTGGTAAAGCTTTTCAATAGGACTTCCATGTTTCTGATAAGTCTCACATAGCCAGGTTAACTGAGAGACATAAGGGTCTGCTTGAGACAATTCAAATTCTAGTCCAGAAAATTGAGCCTAAATGGGTTTCTCTTTTGCCCCAGGCCTTAATCTATCTTTACAAATTGTCACTATTGTCCCCATTCTATAAGGGCTAGAGGCCAGATTGAGGGTGCATATTCTCTGGGGACCCATCTGAACCTAAACTTCCACCAGAAAAGAAAATAAAAACAGCACATCAATTGCAGCTGTACACACTTTTGACTGCTGGTCTCATTTCTCACTGGTCTGGGTGCTTTCATTGGTGTAGACTCTTTAAATAAGCCATTGTTTCAACCATTGTTTCACCATTGATAAACAATGAGGTCTACTTGCCATCAACCTTGGCTAATACAAGCCCTGTGATCCAAAGACCTTGCCAGCTTGCCTGTCACCAACCAAACCAACAACTGAGGCAAAGGGCTTATAATAACTGGCCAAATTAGAGGGCCTGTCTACAGGCTATACTGGAGCTCCAACCTCTTAGCCTGGTAACACCTTAGAGCCATAAAATCAAGACCCACACCAGCTTGAGTGGGTGTCCACTTAAAGAGGATACCGAGTGTCCCCTACCAGATGATGTCGCCCCAGCCCAGGAGTTCACTGGTGGAGATGACTTTGTCACCTGCACCAAAGACAACTTCACACTGGACACTAAACCTGCCACTCCAGCAGCACCCATGGATTGCCTCTCCTAAAGAAGAAATTTGACACAGGAGATCTACTGCTTTTCTTCCCTTGATATTAGGGATTCTATTATGTTTTCTAAAGCTCACCATCTGCTTAGCCCATAATCCTGGTATACTCCTTTCTCCCTGTCAACTTGTACACACCTACATTCCCATGCCAAAAGAGAAATATTACCATTCCTGAATAATAATAAAATCTGCATCTTAAAACAATCCCGCTTTATTCTTTTTAAAAACTGTTTTAACAGGAATTCCCTGGCAGTCCAGTGGTTAGGACTCGGTGCTTTCACTGCCAAGGGCCCAGGTTCAATCCCTGGTCAGGGAACTAAGATCCCACAAGCCACACAGTGCAGCCAGAAAAAAAAAAACCCAAAACTGTTTGAGCTCTTCTAGGTCCTTTACTTTCCATGTACAGTTTAGAATAAGTGTGTTTATATCAACAAAAAATCTGTGAGATTTTGATAGGAATTGTGTTAGTGCTCTAGGTCACTTAAGAAACAATTGACATTTTTACTATGTTTATCCAATCCATAAATGCAGTATATTTGTCCATTTATTCAGATCTCTTTGATATGTTTCCTTAGGTTTTGTAAATTTCAGCATACATATCCTGCATTTGTTTTGTTAGATTTCTACCCAAGTATTTTAAGTCTCTGGAGTGACTGCCAATGGGGCTGCATTTTTAATTTCAATGTTCTCATGTTTGTTGTTAGTATATGGAGATGTTATTAATTTTTGTGTGTTGATCCTATGTCCTGCAACTTTGCTGAACTCACTTACTAGGTTTAGAAGTATTGCAAATTCCTTGGGACTTTCTATGTACACTGTTACAGATTTGAATTGTGTTCCCTCAAAATTCAGTGCTAAGGACTTCCCTGGTGGCGCAGCAGTTAAGAATCTGCCTGCCAATGCAGAGGACATGGATTCGATCCCTGGTCTGGGAAGATCCCACATGCCACGAGCAACTAAGCCTGTGCGCCACAACTACTGAGCCTGTGCTGTAGGGCCCACGAGCCACAACTACTGAGTCCGCGTGCCACAACTACTGAAGCCCGCACACCTAGAGCCTGTGCTCTGCAACAAGAGAAGCCACCGCAATAAGCCTGTGCACCACAACGAAGAGTAGCCCCTGCCTGTGTGCAGCAACAAAGACCCAATGCAGCCCAAAATAAATAAATAAATTTATTAAATAAAAAATTCAGTGCTAACCTCCACAACCTTAGAATGTGACTGTATTTGGAGATAAGGCCTGAAAGAGGTAATGAAGTTAAAATGAGGCTCTTAGTTTAGGCCCTAATCCAATCTTATAAGAGGAGATTATAAGAGGAGGTGATTAGGTCACACAGAGAGAAGCACACCAAGGACGCACTTGCACAGAGAAAAGGCCATTTGAGGACATAGCAAAAAAGTGGCTATCTACAAGCCAAGGAGAGAGAGATTAGGAAAAATAAGACCTGATTTCCAGCTTCCAGACCTTGGATTTCCAGCTTCCAGAATAGTGAGAAAATAAATTTTTGTTGTTTATGCTACCCAGACAGTGGTATTTTGCCAGACAGTCCTGGAAAACTAATACATGGACCATCATGTCATCTGAAGATGTAGACAGCTGTATTTCTTCCATTCCAATCTGTACACATTTTATTTCTTGTCTTGCCTTATTAGTGGCTAGAATTCAATATAAAATAAGAATAAGAGGGCTTCCCTGGTGGCGCAGTGGTTGAGAGTCCGCCTGCCGATGCAGGGGACACGGGTTTGTGCCCTGGTCTGGGAAGATCCCACATGCCGCGGAACAGCTGGGCCCGTGAGCCATGGCCGCTGAGACTGCGTGTCCGGAGCCTGTACTCCGCAACAGGAGAGGCAGCAACAGTGAGAGGCCCGCGTACCGCAAAAACAAAAACAAAAACAAAATAAGAATAAGAGTGGTGTGACCAGAAATCCATACCTTGTTCCTGGTCTTAGAAATGAAAGAAGAGAGATTACAACCAATATCATAGAGATACAAACACTCTTCCAAAACTCAATCAGGAAGAAAGAGATAATCTGAACAGACCAATCACTAGTAGTGAAATTAAATCAGTAATCAAAAAACTCCCAGCAAAAAAAAAGTCCAGAACTGGATGGCTTCACAGGGGAATTTTACCAAACATATAAAGAAGAGCTAACACCTATCCTTCTCAAACTATTCCAAAAAACTGAAGAGGAGGGAACACTCCCAAATTCATTCTATGAGGCAATCATTACCCTGATACTAAAGACAGACAAAGACACTACAAAAAAAAAGAAAATTACAGGCTAATATTTCTGATGAATATAGATGCAAAAATCCTCAACAAAATATTAGCAAACAATATATAAAAAGGATCATATACCATGATATAGTGAGATTTATTCCAGGGATGCAATGATAGTTCAATACCAGCAAATCAATCAATCAATCAATGTGATAAACCACATTAACAAAACAAAGGATAAAAATCACGATCATCTCAAAGCATTTGACAAAATTCAACATTCATTCACGATTAAAAAAAACTCTCATCGAAGTTGGTATAGAGAGAACATATCTCAACATAATAAAAGCCATTTATGACAAACCCACACTAATATCATACTCAATAGTGAAAAGCTGTAAGCTTTTCCTCTAAAATCAGGAATAAGACAAGAATGCCCATTCTTGCCACTTCTATTTAACAAAGTATTGGAAGTCCTAGCCACAGCAATAGACAAGAAAAAGAAATAAAAGTCATCCAAATTGGAAGAGAAGAAGTAAAACTGTCACTACTTGTAGATACGATACTATATATAGAAAACCCTAAAGTCTTCATCAAAACACTATTAGAACTAATAAATGAATTAAGTAAAGCTTCAGGATACAAGATTAATATACAGAAATCAGTTGCTTTTCTATCAGAAAGAGAAAGCAAGAAAACAATTCCACTTAAAATCACATCAAGAAGAATAAAATACCTAGGAGAAAACCAAGAAGGTGAAAGATGTATACTCTGAAAACTATAAAACACTGATGAAAGAAATTGAAGATGATATAAAGAAATGGAGATATCTGGTGTTCATGGATTGTAGGAATTAATATTATTCAAATGTCCATACTACCCAAAGCAATCTACAGATTTAATACAATCCCTCTCCAAATACACATGACGTTTTTCACGAAACTAGAATAATCCTAAAATTTATATGGAACCATAAAAGACCCTAAATAATCAAAACAATCTTGAGAAAAAGGAACAAATCTGGAGGTATCACACTCCCTGACTTCAGACTATACTACAAGGCTACAGTTATGAAAACATATGGTACCGGAACAAAAACAGACACAAAATCAGAAGAGAATAGAGAGCCTGGAAATAAACCCATGCACATATGGTCAATGAATCTATTGACAAAGGAGGCAAAAATATACAAAGGGGAAAAGACAGTCTTTTCAATAAGTGGTCCCAGGAAAACTGGACAGTTGCATGTAAAAGAATGAAGTTAGAAAATTTTCTCACACTGTATACAAAAATATTCTCAAAATGGATTAAACACTTAAATATAAGACCAGAAACCGTAAAACTCCTAAAAGAAAATATAGGAATGAAAAAGGAACGAAATTGGGTCATTTGTAGATACATGGATGGATCTAGAGACTGTCATACAGAGTGAAGTAAGTCAGAAAGAGAAAAACAAATATCGTATATTAACGCATATATGCGGAACCTAGAAAAATGGTACAGATGAACTGGTTTGCAGGGCAGAAATAGAGACACAGATATAGAGAACCAACGTATGGACACCAAGGGGGGAAAGTGGCGGGGGGTGGGGTGGTGGTGTGATGAATTGGGAGATTGGGATTGACATGTACACACTAAGATGTATAAAATGGATAACTAATAAGAACCTTCCATATAAAGATAAAATAAAATTCAAAAAAAAAAAAAGGCAGGACTCGAGCAAAAGATTAATATTTAGGGGTGAAGTCTACAACTTCCTCTTACCTGCAGAAATAACACGTACAAGATAGAGAGAAGGAGATAGAGATAAAATAAATAAGGCAAAATATTACCAAAGATGTCGGCAGTGTTACCATTCCTTCTACTTTTCTCTATGTTGAAATTTCCATTTTAAAAGTTGCAAAAGAAATTTCCAAGTGGACAGTTTATTTTTTTCTATCCTATTATTAATTTCTATCGCATACTGAATTTTGGACAAAGAATGTGGATTACAGGCACACACATTAAAAGGCTGGGTAACTTTCATGAATTGTCTGATTCAACTTAAGAGACGAGTTCTAAATGAATATCCTCTCATGTTTCTTTCTTTCTACAAAGTTTTATCCAGGAAGATTTATCTAAAATTCTAAAATGGATATATGGAGAGAGGGACATCTCTAAATTAATTACACCTGTAGGGTCTTACTCTCAAAATTTCACTAGCAGTTTAAAAAATATGATAATAATAAAACTAATGACTATTGAGCACAGGTTTTTACAACTACGTAGGTTCTATTATCATCACCATTTTAAAACAATGCCCTGAGATGAAAAGTATGGTGCCTAGTGTCAAACAGGTTGTTAGGTGTAGAATAACAATGATGCGTGTTAACATGCGTGATATGGCTAAAGGCTTTCCAATATGTATCACATTAACTGGGTTTTAAAAATTAGGATGAATTATCTGAAGTTCCAAATGATTTAAAAGCAACTGGAAGGTTTTTCAATTCACTTATTCAATCATATTAGAACATGTCATAAAATTTCATGCTATCAATGCTGTAAGCATTAATAATGTTTCCCACCTTTTCTGAATTGGCCACCAGTGTGGTGATGATATTCTGATAATGTAAACACAGGAATGACAAATTAAGGCTTTCTTATGTTTTCTGAATTACATTATGAATTTTTTTTTTCTTTTTTGGCCACACCTCGCGGCTTCTGGGATCTTAGTTCCCCTACCAGGGATCAAACCTGAGCCCTCAGCAGTGAAAGCATGGAGTCCTAACCACTGGACCAGCAGGGAATTCCCATCATGAATTGTGTAATAAAAGAAAGATGAGAATATTTTCTAAAGGCCTACCAACATATTTTATATTCAAAAGTTTCTCACCAGCACAAATTCTCTGATGCTGAACAATGTTTAAGCCATACAAAAAGGACTTCCTAAATTCCTTAAATTCTTAGGGCTTTACACCCATATGGTTTCTCTGATATGCTTTAAGGGCTGAACTATATCTAAAGGTCTTTCCACATTCCTTACATTCAAAGGGTTTCTCACCTGTATGAACGCTCTGATGCCCAATAAATTGTCCATACACAGTAAAGGCTTTCCCACATTCCTTACATTCATAGGATTTCTCACCAGTATGAATTCTTTGACGCTGAATGAGGTAAGAGCCAGAACTAAAGGCCTTCCCACATTCCTTACACTTACAGGGTTTCTCACCAGTATGGATTCTCCCATGTTGTACAAGGTATGAGGCACGACTAAAAGTTTTTCCACATTCCTTACATTCATAGGGTTTCTCATCAGTATGAACCCTCTGATGCACAGTAAGTTGATGGCGACTAATAAAAGCTTTGCCACATACCTGACATTCATAGCATTTCTCACCAGTATGAATTCTCTGATGCTGAACCAGGTATAAGCCAGTACTAAAGGCCTTGCTACACTTCTTACACTCATAGGGTTTCTCACCCGTATGAAGCCTTTCATGTTGAACAAGGTATGAGACACAACTAAAGGCTTTCCCACATTTCTTGCATCCATAGGGCTTAACCCCTGCATGAATTCTCTGATGTGCATTAAGAAGTGAACTAAGGGCTTCCCTGGTGGCGCAGTGGTTGAGAGTCCGCCTGCCGATGCAGGGGACATGGGTTCGTGCCCTGGTCTGGGAAGATCCCACATGCCGCAGAGCGGCTGGGCCCGTGAGCCATGGCCGCTGAGCCTGCGCATCTGGAGCCTGTGCTCCGCAACGGAAGAGGCCACAACAGTGAGAGGCCCGCATACCGCAAAAAAAAAAAAAAAAAAGAAAGAAATGAACTAAGTCTAAAGGTCTTTACACATTCCTTGCATTCAAAGGGTTTCTCACCAGTATGAATACTCTGATGTCTAGTAAGTTGTCCATACAGTAAAGGCCTTGCCACATTCCTTACACTCATAGGGTTTCTCACCTGTATGAATTCTTTGATGTTTAACAAGGGGGGGAGCTAGTACTAAAGGCCTTCCCACATTCTTTACATTCATAGGGTTTTTCACCAGTATGAATACTCTGATGCCGAATAAGCTTTCCATACACTATAAAAGCTTTCCCACATTCCTTACATTCATAGGATTTCTCACCATTATGGATTCATTGACGCTGAACAAGGTATGAGCTACTATAAAAAGCTTTTCCACATTCCCCACATTCATATGGTTTCTTACCAGGATGCAGACTCTGATGTAAATTGATGGCTACTGCTAAAGGTCTTCCCACATTCCTCACCTGCATATGGTTTCTCACCAGTATGAGTTCTTCCATGCTTAACGAAGGCTGAGCCTTTAATAAAAGCTTTCCCACATTCCTTACATTTATAGGATTTCTCACCAACATGCAGCCTCTGATGTACAGTGAGCTGATGTCCATTACTAAAGTTCTCCCCACATTCTTTACATTGGTAGGTTTTTTCACTAGAACATATTCTTTCATGTTGAACATGCTTTGAGACTTGACAGATAGTCTTCCCACATTTCTGACATTCAAATGGTTTCTCTCTATGAAGATTTCTCTGATGCAGAGTGAAAGATGCAAATTTTTCGTAGGTGAGCATTTCTTTATAGCTGATTGTCTCATCCTTCAACTGAAATTCTGAAAGAAAATTAAAAAACCCCCAATATTTTGTTTTCCTATATAAGAAAAACTGGATTTCAATAGAGTAAAAGAGACAAATTGAAGAGAATCCATTAAAAATAAATAACCTAGGTAATACTAAAATACTGTTAAGAAAGCCAAAAAAAAAAAAAAAAGGTCAAGGAAGAATGCAGAGATGAATGAGAGTTTATGTAAAATAGGAAGGCTGGTGATTAATAACATAGGCTTCATTTCTGATCTTTAGATGTGGATAAGAATCTTTGAAGAGTTTGTTAAAAAATTGATGTTCAGGGCTTCCCTGGTGGCGCAGTGGTTGAAAGTCCGCCTGCCGATGCAGGGGACACGGGTTCGTGCCCCGGTCCGGGAGGATCCCACATGCCGTGGAGCGGCTGGGCCCATGAGCCATGGCCGCTGAGCCTGCGCGTCCGGAGCCTGTGCTCCGCAATGGGAGAGGCCACAACAGTGAGAGGCCCGTGTACCGCAAAAAAAAAAAAAAACAAAAATTGATGTTCAAGGACCATCCCAGGCCCCATGAATCAGAATACACAGGGGACGTTCCTGGGCACTAATATTTTCAACATTTCTAACAAATGCTTCTGGTATAGATGAAATTTCATCCCCCACCCACCCCCAGTCGTTTCTCTTTACACTTAGGATAGAATCCATGTATCTTTCCATGAATAATATGGTCTCTGCTTACCTATCAGGCCTCATATCAAGTCATAATTCCTTTCTTTTGTTCCCTATTTACCTCACTTCCCCCTTCAGCACCTGGAATGTGTCACAAATTTTCTCATCTTTTGGTTCCATCTGCAGGTGGCGTCAACTCCCAAAAATCCTTTGGCATGTGTCGTTTGCAGACTGTAACTCTCTCATCCTGTATATGTTTAAGGTAAAATGTCACTTATCAGGAATACTGGAAACTGCTGAACTTGTCTAAGGATGTCCACGCCTTTATTTTCTGTCCTAACGCTTCATTCCTGCCATTCCGACCTGTTTTCAATTGCATAATTATTTCTCTTTGTTATGATTTTTATTTCTCCCAAGCCTCCCTCTGGTAGACAGCATTTTGGCCTTCATGTCCTTTGCCCTCATCATGCCTATGAAGATGATACATCACATGGAAAATGGTATATAATCAAGTTTACTAACTAGTTGATTTACTATAAGGAGATTATCTGGATTCTCTGGAAAGGCCCTTCAAAGAGCTTTCTCTTGGCTCAGGGCAGAAGGGGAATCAGAGACGTTCAAAGTGTGAGAAGGACAAGACTTGCCAGCTGCTGGCTTGAAGATGGAGGGGGGCCACATGGAAAGTGTAAGAAGAAAATAAATTCTGCCAATAACCAGGGAGCTGGGAAGAGGACCCCATGCCCTAAAGAACTGCAGTCATAGCTGGTACCTCGATTTAGCCATCACATGCTGAACTTCTGATCTATAGAACTATGTGATAATAAATAAGTGTAGTTTTAAGCTACTAAGTTTGTGGTAGTTTGTCATACAGCAGTAGACAACTAATGCACTCCCCAAGAGCAAGCCCAACCCCTGTTTCATTCAGCACAGAGCTATAACCCTCTGGCACACAGTAGGAACCGACTTCAAAAAACAAAAAACAAAAAACAGAAAACAAATCCCTAGACAAAAGAAATGAATTAAGATATTATTAAAAGACACTATTACAAAAAGAATTCACTGATAATGAAACTGAGGACCCTGTGGGGCTCCTGAACACAGAAGCCTTTTTATCCCCCATTTCTTGTAGGCAAGACTCCAGCCGCCATGACCTTCCCTGAGTTCCAAAGGGCAGATTCTGAGTGAAGAGCAATGTGAACATTCTTTGTATAATTTGCAACTTTTCTGTAAGCCTGAAATTATTTTTAAAAAAATGTTTTATTCTGCTCAGGGCGATGGTTATGTGGATATCTGCCTTATAATAACTCATTAAGCTGTATATTTTAACGTGTTGTTTGGTTTCTATCTTGTATTTAATAGACATTTAAAAAAATTAAAGTTGGAAAAACATAAATTAGATCATGGCTTCTAGTCACTTGCAGAAAATAATCCAAATTCCTGATAATTAACAAATATATAACCTGGCCCTTTCTAACGTTCTCCCTTTTTTCTTGTTACTCTCTCCTCATTAGTTATGTTTGACTCTGCTATTGCTTCTGAAGCACACAAAGCTCACTTCCACCTCAAGGAAATTACATTTGCTGTTCACTCTGCCTGGAATGTTCTACATAATCATATGGCCTAAGCCCTTACTTCTTGTTCTTATCTCTGTCCAATTACCACCACCTCAGAATATATAAATAAATCTAAATGCAAAAGAGGAGGTGAACGCAGTCAAATTAAAAACACAGCTGAAACCGGTTTGCAGGGCAGAAATAGAGACACGGATGTAGAGAACAAATGTATGGACACCAAGGCGGGAAAGTGGCCGGGGTGGTGGTGGTGGTGGGATGAACTGGGAGGCTGGGATTGACATATGTACACTAATATGTATAAAATGGATAACTAGTAAGAACCTGCTGTATAAAAAAATAAATAAAACTCAAAAATTAAAAAAAACACAGCTGAAGTATTACACTGGGAAAGAGAATAAGCCTAATAAAGTGACTGGGAAATATGATGAGAGTGAAGTTAAAACTGGTAAAGGGTTGGAAAATTTGGTGAGATATTCATCTTTCCCCCAAGTCTCAGGCCTTGGAAGGGTCTTCCAAACAACCTCTCAGAGATGTGCCTACTCCCTGACCACATGGGCTGTTTCCAGCAGTGATGGCTTCTCTACCCAACATACTCTTACTCACCTGTGTATTGTCTCCCTTGATCTTTCTTCACTATCATCCAGGGCTCTTTCCATTGTTCCAATAAGGTAATCTCATGTGGTTTAGAACAGGAATGACGTGCTCACAAGATAAGAATGCCATATAATGAGAAATAAAAGATGAATTCAAAAATACCTTAAGCTTGTGTTAAATTTGTAATAAACTAAAGGTCAAAATGACTGCTAAGTACTACAGAGAAGAGAATGGCAAGAGGATTCAAGAATCCAGATAGGAGGGGAAAGGTCTTATTTTAAGTGAAATCTATCTACCTATCTACTTACCTACCTACCTACCTTCTGTGTCTTGACAGAAAGCATGACATTGTAACTGAGAACAAAGACTGTGGACCCAGAGCACCTGGGTTCAAATTCCTGGTTCTGCCATGTACTAGCTCTGCGACCTTGGATAACTCAAACTCACTGTGCTTCAGCATTCTCATCTAAAATGATTACATATATTTGTATTTGATTTGTATCAACTGATTTTTCCCCCCACAATCACCTTATGAAGTACTATGTTTATAAAGAGCTTAAAGTAGTGACTGGTACATAGTTAGAACAATGTGAGTTATCAACATTATTATTGTTATTTTTCTAAGGGAAAAAAGAAAGTTTCCTGAGACATCTATATTTACAATTCATTTAATCCTAAATGCAAAGCTCATGGATTATAAATTTTAACTACAAAATCAGGTAAATTGTTTTGGAAGAAATAAAATGATGTAATTTCAGCTTTAAATAATTTATGTTTATCTAATGCACCACTAAATAAATTGCACAGGCTCTTCAGATGGAACAAATCAGAACCTTTGTCTAGCTGTTTTGCCTGCAGGTGGGCTCACCATTTTGGGCATAAACACAACAGGAAATCTGACCTTTGTCAATATTTATAGAACACCCCAGGATTCTAATCCTGCCATTTCATCAGTTCCAACCTAACAAAGCTCAAACTACTTCTTTGAGAACAGGGAGAAGAAATTACATTCACTTCTTAAGACAGCCCTAAAATGTACAACGAAGAAAGTATTTCAGGGAAAAGATTCTAATTTATTTGAGAGATGTAAACTTACCCAGAGAGACCAAGTTCCTATAGTTCTCCAACATCACATCTCTGTCCACATCCCTCTGAGCAGAATCCAGACTCTCCCACTCCCGCTGAGCGAAGGCTATGGCCACATCCCTGAATGTCACTGATCCCTGAAACTGCAAACCCACACATTTCTGGTGAAATTAAAGGAAATGTAGCCATAGCTAAGACCCGAGGCAGGCAAAAATAAAAAAATTAAAAAAAAGAAAAAAAAGAAAGAAAATGTTTTCAAGATGAAAGGAGAGGAAATAAAGAGTTCCAATGTAACAAAGTAGCAATAATAGAGCAATCAAGTAGGCTGGAGGCTCATGATATAAGAAGTAAAGGAAGCAGATGCAAACTATTATATATAGGATGGATAAACAACAAGGTCCTACCATATAGCACAGGGAATTATAAATATCCTGTGATAAATCATAATGGAAAAGAATATGAAAAGAATATATATATATGTATAACTGAGTCACTTTGCTGTATAGCAGAAATTAACACAACACTGTAAATCAACTATACTTCAATAAAATTTTTTAAAAAAGTAAATGAAGCAGAATATCTTCATGTTCTAGAAGAATCCTTGCTATGGACAAAATTTCCTGTTACATTGTGGCATACCACAATACTCCAGAGCTATTGGGAAATGGATAAAATAATCCAAGTTTCTTTGTTAAATAAGAGTATACACAAAGACACTGCCTGCTAGGTGCCCCAATACATTCTCAAGAACTATTAGTCTCTACGTTATTTTCCCTTTAAGAGAAAAGGTTTGGGGTTTTTTTCAAGCACAAAAATCTCTATTTTAGAAAACAGATATTATACAACTTTGTTAACTCCTCAAGCTTCGAGATCATTATGTCAGATCATACCATAAGCATTTTTCCTTGTATTGATAAATATATTTTTCATGATGGCATAAAAGTACATCTCAGGGATACAAATATCAGGGTTTGTAATTATTTTATATTTATATGAGATTGGACCAAATGCCCCAGGTTTCCCCAGTTCTGGTAATCTATGTTAACCTACTACTTACGATAATATGCTTATTAGTACATTGTCATGCAGCATTCCTCACTCAACACTTTGCCTGTTCTTCAGTTAGTGGATAATAATGCAGATGATTCAGAATCAAAAGTAAGTCACCCGGGCTTCCCTGGTGGCGCAGTGGTTGGGAGTCCGCCTGCCGATGCAGGGGACACGGGTTCGTGCCCCGGTCCGGGAAGATCCCACATGCCGCGGAGCGGCTGGGCCCATGAGCCATGGCCACTGAGCCTGCGCGTCCGGAGCCTGTGCTCCGCAACGGGAGAGGCCACAACAGTGAGAGGCCCACGTACCGCAAAAAAAAAAAAAAAAAAGTAAGTCACCCAAGTCCAGCAGGTCCCATTCCACAACAAAACTGACCTAGTACCACTCTCTCAGGCATCACCTGGCAAGAACCGTGCTATCAATGTTTCCATGTCACAATCACATCTCTAATGTGTCCCTAAAAGCCTCACAGAGCATGTGAGCTCATCATATTAAGACTGAGACCAATCAATACAAAATCCCATCTTATCAGGTCTGTGAAAAATGTTTAATTTTCTGATGTATGGTAAAAATGAGGCCAGTATCTCGAACCCACCAAACCAGAGACTGACATAAGAAGCTCAAATAATTTTCTCGTGGGACTTCATATTTTCACTGCTCCATCACAGCCCTTCAGCAAAGACATATCACATAGGACCTGTTCAGTAATTTGCTCAGTGAATTCATGAGCACCAATTAGAAAAGGACATCTCATAAGGAGGAAGCAGTTATTTGGCACTGTTTCACTAGGAGGAATCAGGAAGCGGGTAATTAGATGGTGCTCTGTTAGGAAGAACACTGTAGGTTAATGAATGACAATTATCTATGTAATCTAAAAATCCCAGTATTTCAAGGAGAAACAACAACTTACTTGGGCCATGTTATCAGAAATGTAAGGACTGATCAGTCTTCCTTGGGCTTCTTCTATCCGAAGGGTTCAAATTCTAGAAAATTCAGAGCTGAGAGACGAAAAGGAGGCTTTAGTGTTTCCCCATAACTTCAGCCAATAAAACTTGTCCCCCCATTTCAGCTTCCAAACTATGACACAACCGCCCTCACATAACATTTTGTGGAAGAACAGAGGGATTCCGGATAAATCTAAACCCAGTGAACCAAGCTGTAAACAGCTGGTTGCAGAACAACAGCACTTCTTCAGTGAAGCCAGAATCAGACACTTCCGTAGGTTTTCTGGCTAAGCCTCCATTTTGGGAAGGCTCATGTGGATGGTAAGATTGGGCTGCACAGTTCTGTTGTGAACAGATTCTCCTCCCTCCATTCCTACATTCTAACCAAAAAAGAGACCATATCACCCAAACCAGAACTTCCTTTGTGGCTTCAGGATAAGATCAAACCACCTGAGAAGGAAAATATAGGTGATATTGATCTGACATTTACAAACATCTCAGTGGCTCAGTTTTCTCATCATTAAAATAGGGATAAGAATATCAGCTACTACATATGGTTATCTTGCAGAATAAGAAGAAAATTCAATTAAAACACGTACTAGAATAGAATAATTGCTTAACACGGGTTAGCTATTTAAGAACATTACATGCCTCTTATTTCATTTTTATTTTTATTTTTAATGAACATTCTGTATTTTTATTTGCTCAATCTGACAACTAACTTGGAAGTATCGCCTTTTTTGTTTGTTTTGGCCGCGCAGCACAGCCTGCGGGATCCTAGTTCCCCAACCAAGGATTGAACTTAGGCCTTGCCAGCGAAAGGGCTGAGTCCTGACCACTGGAGTGCCAGGGAACTCCCTCATTTTTATAAAAGTAAAACTTTGTTTCCAATTTTTGCTTATCTCTGGCATGCTTTTTTTTTTTTTTTTAATTGATTGGAATCAGCTTTTCTTTAGGAAATCTTCTAGGGACAATTCTGACATATTTAAAATAACTGTTCACAGAGATGCAATCCACATGCGCATTCCAACAAATCCATGAATCAGCAATCAGAATGACAAGCTGTCTTGTATTCTATCTAAAACATTTAGAGCCTGGCCTTAGGAATGCAACTCTTCTTTTAAAATATAGCAGAAAATAGTCTCTGACATTTAAATTTCCCCTTTAATTTCTCCGTAGAAATTACAGAGAGAGGCACCATTCTGCAATAAGATGCAAAACTACAATAATTCACAAAGGTTGAATCTCGTTCTTTCTAAGCAATACGGAGACTGATGTAAATGTTTAGAGGCAATATCATCTTATTCTCTTTTTTTATATAAAATCATCACTGGAAAAGTAATTTGAACAACAGATCCTTGGAAGTCATTTTTCCTGCTCTAAAATTCCAATCTCCAGATCAATTATGTGCCTTCCTGCCGGGAAACTTCATACAGGGGCTCAATAACCGACCTCCTTCTGGGGACCAGCTGTCTGGGGCAGACCCTTGTGGCTGGGAGGGGAATGGGGCAGGCGGCAGCAGGCACCTGCAACACGGGTCCCAGTGGCACACCTCTCAGCTGAGAATCCAAGTTCACAGGGAGGTCCTGGCTCCAGTCTTCGCGGACTCACACCCGCACTCTCTCTCACAAATTACCCTCCCTCCCCTGACTGGAGCAGCCCTGCCTCCAAGCCAAGAGCGCCTCGTCCACCCTCCCACTGCCCGCCTGGCAGGGTCCGGGGTCCGAACCGGCCCGCACGCCCCGCACTCACTGCTTCCCTTCCCGGAACCCAGTTACCCGGTGGTGCTGGTCCGAGTCTGCAGAGCTCTCCCCCGAGGCCGGGCTCTGACTTTTTCCTTACAGAAGTCCACAGCTCGCTGCCGCGCCAACAATCACAAACGATAGGGGGAAAGGAAGAGGTCTAGATTGCCCCGGCGGCCTTTGGGAAATGTAGTCCCAGGCTAAGAGGGCCTGATCGCAGTGGCCTGTGGAAAATGTAGTCCGGAGTGGTGAAACCTGAGTACCTGCGCGGCCCGCCGCCTACGGCAACCGCTAATCCCGCGCCCCATCGGTAGTGGGAGTTCGCAGGCACAGGCTGACACCAGGCCCTGACTCTGCCCACCTTAGAGGCTGGGTTTAATGGATTGGTCCTCCCGGAGTGAAGAAGGAGAATCGTACTCCAGGGAAGGCGGAGTTGAGGACACAGGAGTTGACGATCGCTTGAAGCCTAAAGAAGAGAGCCAACCCAGGACATTACCATACCAGACTCCCCAAACCATAATAATATATACTAAAATGTGTTATTACTTTAACATAAAAATATGAAAAATAGGTATTTGAAATTACTTACCGTTCTGTATTGTTTACTTTTCCGTTACAGAAACGCTATTATTAAATAGAACATCAGTAGAACTAATAGTGGCAATTAGTAATAATAATAAGACGGATTAAACAGGTGTGTGAGACAAATGGTTCTGTCCTCTGATACAGCATTTTAACTTTTTATTAAATATGAGATATTTAAATTTTGTACACTGTATTATGTGTGTGTATATATTTATTTATTTATTTATTGGTTGCACGGCTTGCAGGATCTCAGTTCCCCAACCAGGGACTGAACCCAGGTCACAGCAGTGAAAGTCCAGAATCCTAAACACTAGGCCACTATGGAACTCCCTATGTATTCTTTAGATACATAAATGTAAGAAAATTTAAGAGTGTTGGGCTAATTAAACAGATGTCATCTTTATTTAAAAGAAATATTTCTTTCTCTTCCATGGTACATTAAGATATTTTTACTCTTTCTGTTTCTTTTTCCAGTAAAACTTCTCTGAACTACCTGTAGCCTTTATGACATTCTTCTTTTCTTTCATGCAGTGGTAAAACTAAGTACAGTCAAACATAAAACTCACTTTGACTTGCAGATTTGGTCTTATCAAGCCTGCGTGACACTCATTCTTGCCGTCAACCCAATGTTATGACATCAAGCAAAATATCATCTCAACAAAGTATTTGCAGATGGAATACTTAGGATCTTGCTTAGTTTCCAGTGCTCCAAAAGTGTCCTTCCACTTTGTATCTACAGGCTTTTTTGGTCAAGTAACTGTTTGCTGGCCAGAGCCTTTACATCAGCAGTCCCCAACCCCTGGGCCACTGACCAGTAGGGTCCGTGGCCTGTTAAGCACCGCGCCACACAGCAGGAGGTGAGCAGCGTGCTAGTGAGCAAAGCTTCATCTGTATTTACAACTCCCCAACAACTCTGCATCGCTCACATTACCGCCTGAGCTCCGCCTCCTCTCAGCATTATGGTGAGTTGTATAATTATTTCATTATATACTACAATGTAATAATGATAGAAATAAAGTGCACAATAAATGTAATGCACTTGAATCATCCTGAAACCATCCCCCCCACCCAGGTCCGTGGAAAAATTGTCTTCCATGAAAACAGTCCCTGGTGCCAAAAAAGTTGGGGACCACTACTTTACATTTGTAAGTTAACTGTATATGCTACTCATGTCTGAAATGCCCATCATTTTTAAACACTCTGAAGCATACTGGATGTCAATGGAAGTTAAGCCTCTTTTTCTCAGGGAAAATGGCATTAAATCACGGAGGCAGTATGAACTTGTGAAATCGAAGTTGGAGTCCACATAGGTAGCGTCATGCATTCGTCACCCACTTACTGAACATCTGCTGTGGGCCTGCCTGTTCTAGTCTTGCAGACAGAGTGGTGAAGAGTAGCTCATGTTCCAGGGTTGAAGACAGAGCCACAAAAAGGAACTAAATAAATGACCAAGATAATATCAGATGACCATAAAGGTTCTGAAGACAGCCAAATAGAGTGAAGAGATTAAAGAGACCTGGAGTGACTCTGCATGGGGCAACCAGGGAAGGCCTCTTTGAGGATGGGATGCTAGAACAAGGCAGGGATTAAAGTGAGGGAGCCAAATGGAAGATAAATAAACAAAAAGAAAAGGTCTTGATGATGATCATGGCTATGATGAATATCAACAGGACTTTGTGCTAGAGAGTAACCCAGGTCCTGTTATGTGTCTATACTCTGTGGGACAGAATACTTCTACATACTATCATTATGAAGTATTTTAAAAGGCTAACTTTTCAAATGTAAATAAATGTCTTATAATAAAATAAATGTGGATTCTCTGTCAGTGGGAAGCCATATCCATTTGCCATAAACAGATGGCAACTACAAAGATAAATCCAGTAAATTTCTTGACTTCCAGACTACCCAGGGGCCCTCCTGCTCAAGCAGAGATGCAACAATTCTAAAGATGCTGCTTCTCCTACTGTGCCTTTGCCCTTGAGGGTTTTGCCAATTCTCCCAGCCCAAGAAGGCCCCAGGACAGGATTCTTCCCCAGATGAGCCCTAAAGTTCATTGAAGTCCTCCAAGAAGCTGTTCCCTTGGAAAAGCATGAAGATCGATGCTCCCTGGGATTCACTGGGCACTGGGAACATAAATCACACGTGTAATTTTATCAGGTCCCCTCAACCCAGGAGAAGGAATTGTCACTATTTCCTTGTTAGACCGAAGAAAATGGAGTCTAAAGGCAGCAAGAGGACTTAAGATTAGAACCAGCAATAGGGACCTCTCCATACACCCCCTGGATTCAGGACCCTGGGCGGGAGTGATGCCCTTCCCAGGTCTCCAGTCTCATCAACTGTTTATGAGTGCCCATTTCTTATCTTCTGCTTTGTCTGGACCAAGCTTTAATCAGGCTTTTCTCCACCCACTGGCCTTTAAACTCTGGTTCAACCCCCAGCTGTTAGCAAGCACTAGAAGGCGGAATATGTACCCCTGCACTTGCCCCCACCCCTATCAGCTTATCCTGAGAATCAACTGAGAAGAGCAAGACAACTTTCCTATCAAACTGCTGCTGACCATGCTCCCCCTTGCTTGTCCAATGTCCCTTTAAATTTTCTGCTTTTGCTTACCCCTCCCTATAAAAGAAAAGCTTTTTTTCTGTTCAGATGCTTGCAGACTTCTATATGTATATTTATTTATTTATTTATTTGTATTTGGTTGTGCCGGGTCTTAGTTGCAGCAAGCAGGCTCCTTAGTTGTGGCATGCACGTGAGATCTAGTTCCCTGACCAGGGATCAAACCCAGGCCCCCTGCATTGGGAGCACAGAGTCCTAACCACTGCACCACCAGGGAAGTCCCTGCTTGCAGATTTCTGAGATGGAGTTCTCTCTATCGTTGGGCAGTCCTTTTGAATAGTCTCTCCTTATTGAAGTCTGTATTTGTTTCTATTCAACAAGAACAGGGAGAGGGGAAGTCTCAGACAACATAAATCCCTATACTGTGCACCAGGACCAAGAAAGTGGGACCTCAGGAGTGTGAGGGACCCTGTGGGCAGAATGAGGTAGTGAGAGGCAGGCAAATGGAGCAGGTCCTTCAACTCAACAGACCCCTTCATCCCCGCTCCGGATGGGAGTCTCAGTACCCCTGCTCCACTAAGATTAAGATTCACACAAGAGGGGCTTCCCTGGTGGTGCAGTGGTTAAGAATCCGCCTGCCAATGCAGCGGACACGGGTTCAAGCCCTGGTCTGGGAAGATCCCACATGCCGCAGAGCAACTAAGCCCGTGCACCACAACTACTGAGCCCACGTGCCACAACTACTGAAGCCCACGTTCCTAGAGCCTGTGCTCTGCAACAAGAGAAGCCACCGCAATGAGAAGCCCATGCACCGCAATGAAGAGTAGCCCCCGCTCGCCACAACTAGAGAAAGCCCGCGCACAGCAATGAAGACCCAACACTGCCAAAAATAAATAAATAAAATAAATAAATTTATTTTTTTAAAAAAAAGATTCACACAAGACTCAGGGCGCCACCCAGGGGCAGGGGTGGGGGACGGGGGGGAGGGGGAGGAGGAAAAAGGGAGCTCAACCCAGTCAGGAGTCAAGAGTCTCAGGAAACTGAAGACGTCACTGGGGGATATTGCTTGTACGGGAGCATAGTGATGGGTCTTATCTTCGTTACTGTCCTTCCTTGCTTGATTTCAAAAGCCACGTGGAGGGTGACCCAGCCAGCTCTCCTGTCCCCCACAGCAGGTGTAGACCCACCAGTCCCCAGCTAAATGACCTAAATGCCAGAAGTCCCATCCCCCTCCTACAGGCTACAAAAACACACTCCCCATCTGGGCTATGATTGGTCCACATCCAGGTCGATGCCCAGGATTCTTAGTAATGCAGTTTTTGTGGGGCTTCCTACCAAGCTATGTGTGCCAGACGCAGTGAGGCCAAACAAAAGGCTAGAATTCGGGGCAGAGAAAGGTTCATTAGTCGAGGAGTTGCCAACTCCGAAGATGGGAGACCTAAACGCGTCTCAAATCCATCTTGCTGGCTGGCCAGGGCGCAAAGTTTTTTTCCCGTTGCGGAGCACAGGCTCCGGACGCGCAGGCTCAGCGGCCATGACTCACGGGCCCAGCCGCTCCGCGGTATGTGGGATCTTCCTGGACCGGGGCACGAACCCGTGTCCCCTATATCGGCAGACGGACTCTCAACCACTGCACCACCAGGGAAGCCCAAGGGCACAAGATTTTTAAATATCTTTTTTTTTTTTTTTTTTTTCGGTACGCGGGCCTCTCGCTGCTGTGGCCTCTCCCGCTGCGGAGCACAGGCTCCGGACACGCAGGCTCAGCGGCCATGGCTCACAGGCCCAGCCGCTCCGCGGCACGTGGGATCCCCCCGGACCGGGGCACGAACCCGTGTTCCCCGCATCGGCAGGCGGACTCCCAACCACTGCACCACCAGGGAAGCCCGGGCACAAGATTTTTAAAGGCAAAAAGGTAAAGCGCAGGGAGTCTTTGTGAGCTCAGCTTCCTGATAAGACCTCATTTGCAGACTTCCCAGGACTGTCTTGTGACTCCATGTGTTACTGGTGAATATAATTGATCT